CGGCCTTCGGCATTTTCCGACGCTGTTCGGCTGCGGGGCCCGTCGCTCTGGCGCTACGCCGCTACGCCGGCGCTGCTGCCGCGCTGGTGCTGCTGGTCGAGGCGCTGCCGGCGGAGCGTAGCGCCAGTTTGTTGCGAGCCCCTTTGCCTGTGTGCACACCCCCGACACGGGTAGGAGGGCAGTGGACGGGCACGCCAGCAGCAGCACAGCGACACGGCCCGGCCGGCCCGCCGCGACAGGCGCCCCGCGACAGACACGCGGCACGGCACGCGCGCCCCGACCCCTCGTGCCGCCGAGCAGCGCGGCCCTCGCCGAGCCTGACCCGACGGACCACCTCACGTCCCCGCCTGCCGCCGCAGAAGAGGTGAGTGGTATGGAGAATGTTGTCTTTTGCTGCGAGGCCGTTGTTGTTGTTCGCACTTACTTTATATTCTTATTAACATGTTGAGTCCCAGGGGGGTCGCCTTTCACGAGCTACTGTGAGGCTATACGTGTGGCCACGTGGGAATTAACGTGTGAAACTCTGTGAAGGGAGAGCCTGGCCTACACTTTTAAATTCCTGCAAAGCAATGATTTGCAGAACTGTTGAGTATTTCGATCCTTTGTAACTACGAAGCAATGAAACACGCTGGAAAGCATAGCTTTGCAATTGCAAGGCATCACTTTGTAATTGCAAAGTAAATGCTTCGTAGTTACGAAGGATCGGAATACTTCGCAGTTCCGCAAAGCGTTGCTTTGTAGGAATCTAACAGTGTATGCAATATCATTTCCGTGATGTCACGCCCTTGTCCTACTGGGATGGGTCACTCGCTGCCAGGGTTTTGCAGCTCGGCTCTCACGTTGTTAACCTGTCGCTGCACACCTTTTCTTAAGTGAGAGGGAACTCTTATAATGATAGCTACCGGAATATTATTGATTGAGTAGTGGACTGGAATTCCGAAGTTTAGAAGAACATTTAAAAGTGTTGGAAATATTTTCACCCAGTAAAATGAGCTCTTCAATCAAGTATATATGCAATAGGACAGCTCAATTCTCTTGCGGTCTTCTCACACCACTGGATTCGACGGAGTAATGTGTCTGTCTAGAGGTAAAAGTGACAGGATTTATTTAACTGCCGATCGTTGAACATCGCTCCATATAGTGATGCACTAGAAATAAAAAGATGTCAAGAGATCATCCAGAAAGTACATCCGTTTTTCTCGGATTCCTTGGGCAAATAATTGCGGGAGCTCGGCGCCTGCGAGACTGGGGGTAGGCCGACCCGCAGTACACGCATGCACGGCAGGCGAGATGTTGCCTACCTAGCAGGCGCTAAGAGTGCTTGCATCAGCTGAACTTGGCAGGTTATTCGCACGGAGAATGACGGCCGTGCTGTCTGGATGATCCCTAAGTTGAACCTTTAAAAGGTGCGCAAAGGTAAAAGCAAAGCATTCCAGCCCCATGCGGATGCTTGTTCACTCGCTTGAGCCGTGCGGCGCTGTGGCCAAACACAAGTAGTGGCAAAGACGCGCGACGAAGTGAACGGGGTAGACAGCCAGACTCATGGCACACAGAGAAGGATTATTATGTCTACTATTAGCCAAATTCAGAGTCAAGACTCAAGCGTCTTGCGACGCAAGCTGACTTATTCTCGAGGCGCGATGGGTATCAAGGAAGCATGCAGAAGATAACCGAGAGGGAAAATCACTTTGGAACTAGGTCGCACGCCTGCGCGCAAAAAGGCGAAATTAGAGATGGGCGAACATGTTCGCATTCGATCGAACTCGAACGAACATCGAGCTGTTCGTGATCGCTCGAACACGAACATGAGGTGTTCGAATTCGAAATGTTCGGACACTACTCGAACAGAAGTTCGAAGGCGAACAAAATTGAAATATGTGTCAGAAATTCACCTCAGAAATGGGTATAATTGAGGGGGCAGTGGCAGTTTAATAAATAACTACAAGTACACACGTTAATGAAACTATTGGAAACCAGAATGGATAGCTTTTATAACGCGTAAGCAAGAAAAAATGGGAATAATTGTTCGTGTTCGGATCGAATTTGAACATTACATTGTTCGGTTCGGTTCGTTCGAAGAAAAAAATGCTTGTTCGTGTTCGTGTTCGTTCGAAGATTTTTGGACCAAATTTGTTCGAGTTCGTTCAAATTCGAACTGGCCTGTTCGCCCATCTCTAGGCGAAATAAACACGAAATGGACGCGAAATAGATGGTGAAATAGTGGCCAAACGCCCCGAAATAATCTGAAATAGCCACGAAATAACCGTAAGGACAGGAGAAATACCATACGAAATAGGCCGAATGGCGAAAGCTATTCCCAAGTATACTTCACTTATAAGTGATTTCCCCCTCGAAGATAACAGTGCGGTAGAAACCTTTGCAAACGATTGGACCCTGATTTCGTAGTAATTGCGATCTTTGCAAAAATCTTCCGCAATGCTTAGCAAGCAGCCAAATCCTAAAGGTTGTCTTTTTTGTTTAAATCACCGCCTTCCGTTTCACGAGCCGTCGTTGAGGAGTGTCGGTCGTTGTCACGTCTCTTTGCATTGCAACGCAGTAACGTGCAAAGCGCCGCGTCTCCGAGCCGCCGGTGTACAATGTACAATTTACAAGCGAAACAAAGCGGAAAGAGTCGTGCGCGTCGCTCATTCGCGTGACCGCGGCTGCATATCAAGAGGCCACGGCGGCAGCGAGGCGCGCACCTGAGCCCCACCCCCACCCACTGGGAGTAGAGCATTTACTTTTTCAGAAGAGCTGCATTGAAAGTTTGCATTATCCGGCGCTGCTGGCGCGGGGCATGAGCAGTGGAGATGGGGCCCCCGCAGCGTCGCGGAGCAGAAGTAGATCGGCCGCCCGACTCATGCAGCGCGCGCGCACAACTCTCCTGCTCGCTTTGTTTTCCCGCTTCTGTGACAATGAGTGCGTGTGTGTGGGCTGTGTTCTGCAGTCGGCCCGAACGTTATGGTTCACCTCGCTTCCTCGAGTGCGGCCGCCTGCGCCGCGCCGAACGCTCGACGAAAGTTTGGGAAATACCGACCTGAAAAGAGACGGCGGCATTGTTCTGCACGCAGGGAAGCGCGGTTTTGGATCAAGCAAAATGTTCTTGAATTGAACCTCCATACTTAAATGTTGCACACCTTCCAAAATCGAACTACTTGATTGAAATCTACTCCAGTGACATTTTCGATGAATGAAAATCATCTTAGAAGCACAATATTTAAATACAGGTCAAGGTCAAGAACATTTGGCTTGGTCCGAAATCGGACTTTTCTGGGTGTACTCACTCTTTCTCGTGAGGGCTGTCGTGCGGGGGCCGCGGACACAGTCTGGGAGGAGCATGCTGCAGCGCCAGTCGCTCTCCGGGGCGGCGAGGATTCACGACGGCGTAGTGCACGACGGCGCGACGACGCACGGCGAACAGGAAAGTTTCGCTAATCGTCCCCTCGGGGGTTTCTCTCAAGCTCGTTTTGAAGCGCCAGTGCCTGTAGTGCCCA